ACAAGAGCAAAACTCCGTCTCAAAACAAAAAAGAAAAAAAAAACAAAGAAATCAATGGATGTGAAAACATAAATGTTGCAGATTGCTAACTACATACAATCATGATAAATACAATGAAAAATAAAGTGCGGTTGGCACAGTGGCTCAATTCTGTAATCCCAGCACTGTGGGAGGCTGAGGTGGGTGGATCACCTGAGGTCAGGAGTTCGAGGCCAGCTCAGCCAACACGGTGAAAACCCATCTCTACTAAAAATACAAAAATTAGCCGGGCATGGTGGTACACAACTATAATCCCAGCTACCTGGGAGGCTGAGGCAGGAGAATTGCTTGAAGCCTGGAGGCAGAGGTTGCAGTGAGCCGAGACCATACCACTGCACTCCAGCCTAGGCAACAGAGTGAGACTCCATCTCAAAAGAAAAAAAAAGAAGTGCTCAAAAAAAAAAAAAAAAAAAAAAATTTGGCCGGGCACGGTGGCTCACGCCTGTAATCCCAGCACTTTGGGAGGCCAAGATGGGTGGATCACGAGGTCAGGAGATCAAGATCATCCTGGCTAACACGGTGAAACCCCGTCTCTACTAAAAATACAAAAAAATCAGCCGGGCGCGGTGGCTCACGCCTGTAATTCCAGGACTTTGGGAGGCTGAGGCGGGCGGATCACCTGAGGTCCAGAGTTCGAGACCAGCCTGACAAACATGGTGAAACTCCGTCTTTAATAAAAATACAAAAATTAGCTGTGAGTGGCGGCCAGCACCTGTAGTCCCAGCTACATGGGAGGCTGAGGCAGGAGAATTGTTTGAACCTGGGAGGCAGAGGTTGCAGTGAGCCAAGATCGCACCATTGCACTCCAGCCTGGGAGACAGAGCGAGACTCCGTCTCAAGAAAAAAAAAAAAAAAAATACAAAAAAATCAGCCAGGTGTGGTGGCGGGCATCTTTAGTCCCAGTTACTCTGGAAACTGAGGCAGGAGAATGGCGTGAACCCAGGAGGCAGAGCTTGCAAGCTTGCAGTGAGCCGAGATCGCGCCACCGCACTCCAGCCTGGGCAACAGAGCGAGACTCCGTCTCAAAAAAAAAAAAAAAAATTTTTTTTACTTATTTTCCTCAACTCGTTTCTACAATGGAAGTCTCATGAATACAAACATTCCTTAAAAACAGAAAAAAGAAGTCACGCGTGGTGGCTCACGCCTACAATCCCAGCACTTTGGGAGGCTGAGGCAGGAGGATCATGAGGTCAAGAGATCAAGACCATCCTGGCCAACATGGTGAAACCCCGTCTCTACTAAAAATACAAAAATTAGCTGGACATGGTGGTGCATGCCTGTAGTCCCAGGTACTTGGGAGGCTGAGGCAGCAGCATTGCTTGAACCTGGGAGGCAGAGATTGCAGTGAGCCAAGATTGCGCCACTGCACTCCAGCCTGGGCGACAGAGGGAGACTCCATCTCAAAAAAAAAAAAAGAAAAGAAAAAGAGAGACTGGGCAAGGTGGATTACACCTGTAACGCCAGCACTTTGGGAGGCCAAGGCAGGTGGATCACGTAAGCCCAAGAGTTCCAGGCTGCAATGAGCTATGACTACACCACCGCACTGCAGCGGTGCAATACAGCAAGAACAGCGGTGCAATACCAGAGCAGCCTGGGCAATACAGCAAGACCCTGTCAAAAAAAAAAAGAAAAAGAAAAAGAAAAAAAGAAAAGAAAGAGAAAGAAAGAAAGAAAGAAAGAAAGAAAGAAAGAAAGAAAGAAAAGAATTTTTAAGTGGGCACAACACCAAATTATTCATCAAGTTTAACAATCAAGATAACATCTTCAGAAGACTGTGTATCCTCCTGAGCCATGCAACTATTCTTAAATCCCATGAGGAAATAAACTAATATTTTAGTATGAACTTCTTAAATAATTTTAGTCAACAGAAAATGCTCAAGTCTCTATTAACAACTTTGATTAGGCCTTCTCCATAACTGGTAGCGCAGGTCATGAGCAGAACTGAGAAAGAGAATTATAAACCTATTACGAATTGTGGAGAACAATTCCACTCACTATTTTCTCCATAAAGGCAGTTTATTACACTGAGATCAACATGTTATCACTCACACTAGTGATGTAAAAAATAATCCATTTCAACATAAGGTTCAGACCAAAAAACAAAAAACCCATCCACGAGAATCTATCTATCTTTGACAACAAAACTACACTATTTGGGGATTAAGTTTAAATGACAAGACAACGTAAACTGGGGGCCTGTTCTCTCCGGAAATCACCACTACCAATGCTGCTTCTGAAAGCAGGCTGCACACAACCATTTTTCCTCTGGAAACAGCTAAATCCCAAGGCACGATATTGCTGTATTTATTTATTTATTTATTTATTTATTTATTTATTTGACGGGGTCTTGCTCTGTCACCCAGGCGGGAGTGCAGTAGTGCAATCTCAGCTCACTGCAGCCTCCACCTCCCAGGTTCAAGCAATTCTCGTGCCTCAGCCTCCCAAGTAGCTGGTATTCCAGGGGCACACCACCACGCCCGGCTAATTTTTGTATTTTTTGTAGAGACATGGTTTCACCATGTTGGCCAGGCTGGTCTCGAACTCCTGACCCTCAGGTGATCCACCTACCTCGACGTCCCAAAGTGCTGGGATTACAGGCATGAGCCACTGCACACGGCAGACATTGCTGTATTTTATAAATGTATCTTTTTGTACCAATTAATACACTATAAATTATAATTGCAAGTGTTTCTCACTAAGATTAAGTCCAGGTTTAAAAGCAATAAGCCAATCAAATAAACAAAAAACTATTTGAAATAGCTTCAAAAGAATAATTAAAAAGATGACTTTAAATAAAAACTTGTTTACCTGACGCTAAAAAATAAAAGATAAAAGCACGTAAATAAAAATGTGTTTACCTGACACTAAAAAACAAAAGATTAACAATATGTTCTGGCGGAACTGAAAGAGTAAGTATAACCTGGAATATTGTTTTAAACAAGTTAGACAAGGGTTTTCATTAAATGTCATTTTATTAATTCGAAATTACATCTTTCACCTTAAGCATTTTGACATTTCCATCAACTCTGTAAAAGTGAGGGTAGATTGTTTTTCTATGTTTTTAATAGACTTGCCTCTCAAAAGAATGAATTAGATAAAAACTGATGAGAGAAACCTTTCCTCAACCTCCTCCTCCTCCTCTTCAATGAGCATCTGAGTAAACCCTGGCTATAAATTACTGTTTAGGTCATAATCCTGAAAAATTTGCCTTAGACAATGACGTAACTAAGGCCCATTTTCTCTTTGTATCTGGACATCCTGTCAACTTTTTGCTTTACAAACCTGTTTTTCATCACAACCAATTTTCACACACAGGAATGTAATCGTGTTTTCCAACGTCCAAGAGCCAAAAATCATTATTTAGTCTATTTTTCCATCTCTCCCCAAATAGCAGAATTCTCCTCAGGGTTCAGAATCTGTACATTTCTGAACGGAGGAAAGGCTGCCTAACGCGGAACACTGCCAGCCTCCCGTGAGGAGTGCGGGCTTCCCGACAGCGGCACTGAGGATCCGCGCGGAGCCCCCGCGTGGAGCCTGCGATGCCCTCCCCACCCCGCGAACCCGGCCGTGCGCAGCAAACACGGCGTGAGGCGCACAGGCCGCGGGCCAGGAGCAGGGCCCAGCCCACCGCTCCCAAACGCGCTGCGGGCAGCTGTCGCGCGGGCTGCACAATGACGAGCGCCCCGCGGCCCGCAGGCCCAGGCCCACCCAGGGCCGCCCCAACGCCCTCCGCACAACGGATTTGCGCCGCCGCCCGCCACGAGGCTCTGACCTCCGGGGGGCCCTGGCCCGCCCCGGCCTGACGCCGCCCTTCCCTGCGGGTCCCGGCCGGATCCTCCCGGGGGTATCCCGTGGCAAACGGCGGGCGGAGGGGGCGGAAGGGCCGGGGACGCTGAGGGTAAGGCGGCCCAGCTGGGGGCGTTCCAAGGACTACGAGGGAAAGGGGCCCGGCGGCCTCACCCGCAACGGGGGGCGGCTCTCCCGCGTCGTCGGCCGCGGGCGCCAGGGTGACGGCGCCGTCCCTCCAGACGCGGATCTGCGCGGCCGAGCGCACACGGCGGCGGGGCTGGCGGCGGCGGGCGGCAGCGCGCAGGGAGCCGCAGCACTGGTAGCACACGGCCCACGCCTGCTCCTCGTTGATGGGCTGGTTGTAGAGCCGCAGGATCTCCTCCAGGCTCAGCGCGTCCTGCGAGCCCCCGGCCGCGCCGCCGGCTGCCTCGGGCTCCCGCGGCCCCTCGCCGCCCCCCGCCTCAGCCCGCGGCTCCCCGCCGCCCGCCGGGCCGGCCGCCTGAGCCATCCCGCGGGTAGGCGCTGCGCTCGGCAGTCGCGCCGTGTGCCGGCGTCTCCTCAGCCCGGGAGCATCGTCTCCGCGCGCCGCCGCCTCACCATCCCCGGAACCGCCACCGCCCAACGCGGCCACGCGCGCCGCCGCCGGGACCAGGCGAGTGCCCGGGAGGCGTGGGCGAGAGGAGGGCGGCGAGGACACGGCTGCAGTCCGGAGCAGACCGCCGCCGGCCGGTAGCGACGCGATGGCGTCCGGCGCCCCGCCCCGCCCCGCCTCGCCTCGCGCAGTCCGGCGCCGCCCAGCGCCCGCCCCTCAGGGGGCCGCACGGGCCGGGGATGCACGCTCTGGAGGTGAGGACCGGGCAGGACGGCCTGGCCTCGAGGCGAGGTGGCCGCACGGTCTCTAGTGGGCCGCGACCCGCAGGGCTCGTAGAGTCGCAGGTGGTGACGCGCGGTCGGGGGCCCGGTCGCAGGGGACACACAGCTCGGGGCGCGATGGTGAGGGCGGCGACGCACGGTCGGGAGGGGGCGTGCGGCCGGGTAGGGCGTGCAGGGTAGTGGGGCGTGGGGGACACGCGGGCCGGGGTCGGACGCGCGGTCGGGGGGCGCAGGGGCAAGAGGGGGTCGCATTTATCACGGAAGCCCCCAGCCGACTCTGGCAGGGAACTGAGGGCGCCAGCGCGGGTCACCGCCCTGCACGGCGGGAGAAGTCACCGCACTGACGTTCCCCAGGGCGCTGGGCGGCCGAAGGTCTGGTTGAGAACTTGAACCCGCCTGAGGCGGAGGCCTAGAAAATGCAGGCCCGCTGAACCCGCCCGCCGGCCCTGAGCCCCGAAACCCTCCCGCAGTTTCCCCTGACCCCGCGGCGGCTCTGCGCCTTGTCCGATTTCTTGCTGGTTGAATGCCTCCTCCTCCACTCGCAACTTCAGGGTAAGCACCGTAAAGATGGGGATCTTCACGGGTTTTCCTCACTGACGTCTCCCAAAAGCTAAACCAGGGCCTGGAATATAAACATGTCGTACATAATTTGCGGGCGTTCGTTTCAGCGTCCTTCCGGATTCGTTTGTCACATTCGTCCGTTCCCTCACTAAGGTAATGTCTCAAGTACCACACTCATCAGAGCGTGTGGAATGAATATCACAGTGGTAAAATTGAACCGAGGGCAATTAGCCGTAGAAATAAAGAATTCCCCCCCCACCTGTTAAATATGCAATAAAACGGATAATTATTAATCGCCCATTGGTAGATGAATTTAATCGATAAAATTCCCCTGAGGCTAGTCCTGTGTGAAAGCCCTACAGAGTGTTGAAAGCATCAACCAAATAGGCAATGTGTATTAAGTTCCTGTCAACCTTTTACGGCAGTTTTATGTGAAATATTAGAAATCACGCTTTCAACAATCGTATCTTGCGGTAGAAACTACAACAGTCTAAATTACAACCGTCTATGAAAATAAGATACCATCTTACATACAGCTGGGATGGGGAGGAGGGAGAAAAGCAACAGGACGAAAAGGAAGATTAAGAAATTGAAAGAGGGTCGTGCGCAGTAATTTAGGCCTGTAATCCCAGCACTTTGGGAGGCTGAGGCGGGCTGATCACTGAGGTCAGGAGTTCGAGACCAGCCTCGACAACATGGTGAAACCCTGTCTCTACTAAAAATACAAAGAAAATTAGCCGGGTGTGGTGACACACGCCTGTAATCGCAGCTACCCGAGAGGGTGAGGCAGGAGAATCGCTGGAACTTGGGAGATGGAGGTTACAGTGAGCCGAGATCACACCATTGCACTCCAGCCTAGGGGACAGAGCAAGAGTCAGTCTCAAAAATAAATAAATAAGTAAAAAATAAATTGGGCCGGGCGCGGTGGCTCAAGCCTGTAATCCCAGCACTTTGGGAGGCTGAGATGGGCGGATCACGAGGTCAGGAGATCGAGACCATCCTGGCGAACACGGTGAAACCCCGTCTTTACTAAAAATACAAAAAATTAGCCGGGCGAGGTGGCGGGCGCCTGTAGTCCCAGCTACTCGGGAGGCTGAGGCAGGAGAATGGCGTAAACCCGGGAGGCGGAGCTTGCAGTGAGCTGAGATCCGGCCACTGCACTCCAGCCTGGGAGACAGAGCGAGACTCCGTCTCAAAAAAAATATATATAAAAAAAAAATAAATAAATTGGAAGAGGAGAAGAAAGCTCTCCAGGCAATTTATTATAATTTCAGTACGAGAGATACAAAACAACCCTTTAAAGTAGTATCACTTAATTATAGGTTCATAATCTCATTTGTAACAAGGCAGTATCTATGCCTGCCAAAGCCGGGAGAGGCAAACATATAATTCCTTATGTGTGACACTATATATATATATAAATATATCTCTGTCCTCTTGATTAAAAACAGACAAACATTACCATATTTTGCTGTTTCAAAAGTGTATCCTGTGTGAATTTTGAAAATACAAACGGGTTTAAAATATTTTGAACAAGTCAGGGAAAAAAATGATCTACTTTTATGGACAACACTACCACCTTCTGGCCTTATGGGATACTGCTGCCCATTGCACTTGGACAACTACAGCCAAAAACATTTTTTTCTTTGCCTTTCCCACCAGTAAACAAGATAAATGGGTTAATAAGCTGGGGAATCTATGAGCCATTAACCTGCTAATCCTGGCATAGGGCAGTAAATAAATCTTGAAGACAACAATACAGGGAAGGAGGAAGTGAGTAAAGGAAATCCGAACTTTATTTTTTAAAAGATGCGTTATTTTTTTAGTCATCCCTCTAATCAATGGAAAAAGATGCAGTTTCTCTTTTTTTTTTATTGAGACAGAGTCTCACTTGGTCACCCAGGCTAGGGTCAGTGCTGTGATTTCAGCTCACTGCAACCTCCACCTCCTGGGTTGAGACAATTCTCATGCCTCGGCCTCTGGAGTAGCTAGGATTACAGGCACACGCTACCATGCCTGGCTAATTTTTGTATTTTTAGTAAAGACAGCGTTTCACCAAGTTGGCCAGGCTGGTCTCAAACTCCTGACCTCAGTAGGCCACCCGCCTCAGCCTCGAAAAGTGCTGGGATTACAGATGTGAGCCACTGTGCCTGGCCAAAAGATGCATTCTTAAAAACAAATTTGCAACACTGGGATTTTCCTTGAGTGATGATTTTTTAAATATATACACATTTTGAGAGGGAGACATTACTGCACTGTATCACAGGACGGTTATATTCAACAGAAGAGCTTTTTTTTTTGTCAAGTAACAATTCATGGCTATGATATACTTAAATATTTTGCCTGTGTGAGCATATATGTAATTAAGTTGAGGAAAGACGACAAGTAGAATATTGTGTGATGTTTCTTCTCTACACAAAATAAAGGAAAATCTTTAAAATCCTAGCAGTCTTCTAAGTTTAGTTATACAACATGAACGCTTGACTCTTTTTTGTGTAAAGACCATAACTTACTAACTTCTAAATGATTTTCAGTACTCCTTAAAGTTTCGATAAGCTGGCCGGGTGTGGTGGCTCACGCCTGTAATCCTAGCACTTTGGGAGGCCAAGGCAGGCAGATCACCTGAGGTCAGGACTTCGAGACCAGCCTGGCCAATATGGCAAAAACCCATCTCTACTAAAAATACAAAAATTAGCTGGGCATGGTGGCAGACACCTGTAATCACAGCTACTTGGGAGGCTGAGGCAGGAGAATCACTGGAACCTGGGAGGCAGAGACTACAGTGAGCCAAGATTGCACCATTGCACCCCCAGCCTGGGGGACAAGAGCGAAACTTTGTCTCAAAAAAGCAGAAAAAAAAATTGATAAGCCTTACTGTTATCCATCATCACAACACTCTGAAAGTGACTGCTGACCACTCAAAGGCTACCAGCAGTTAATATCTTCTCAGTGGAGTTCAAGCAGCCTTGTGGAATAACAGCACCGTCCCATTTTCTCATTTTCAATTCATATTTGGGGCCAGGCGCAGTGTCTCATGCCTGCAATCCCAGCACTTTGGGAAGCCAACGCAGGCAGATCACTTGAGGCCAGGAGTTTGAGACCAGCCTGGCCAACATGGTGAAACCTCATCTCTACTAAAAATGCAAAGAAAATTAGCCCGGCATGGTGATGCATGCCTGTTATCCCAGCTACTCGGGAGCCTGAGGCAGGAGAATCGCTTGAACCCAGGAAGCGGAGATTGCGGTGAGCCAAGATTGTACCACTGCACTCCAGCCTGGGTGACAGAGTGAGACTCCATCTCAAAGAGAAAAAAAAAAAATCCAAAGATTCAAATGCCTTTATGTTCAGGATATTTTGTTCCCAATTTCAGTCATTGATTGTATTTTTACTCTGTGACTTCACATTTAAAATGTCTGAACAACTCAAATCAACATTTAAATGTCTTTTTCAAAGTGCTGTGAAGTCCGATGTGTTACTCTGAATATGGTTTTGTTTTTGTTGATTTTGTTATTTATTAAAAATGGAATCCTTGACTTTTTTTATATTTACTTATTATTCTTGTAGAATAAATGTACTTCATGCTTTATACTCTGGAAGTGCTGGCCACGCTGCTCTGAGTCTTTCAGGGAGCACCACCACTGTGCAGCCCAAGCTCTTCCCAGACACTTTGGGACAGGTGCTCCTAAGGGGCACATTCACCTAGAAAAGTGCACCAGAAAGGAAAAAAAACAGCTTATTTTTTAATGTTGTAACTTAAATTTTCATTGCCTACAATTGTAATACTTTATACATCTATAGTGATACTTCATACTTTCAAAACGTGCTCTTCAGTTATACAACTTGAAGGGTCAGATATTGTTATTTCTGTCTTACAGAGGAGAAAATACAGTCATAGGACAAAATGCAGAAGCAGTAAATGAAACAGGTGGGACTGGAACTCAGGCCTCCTGACCAGCTCAGCTCTTTCTCCTACATTACAATGTCCGTGTACACTCACACACAGCGAGAATAAAGTCCTGAGCCTGGCCGTGGGGACTCACACCTGTAATCCCAGCACTGGGGTAGGCTGAGGCGGGAGCATCATTTGAGCTCACAAGTTTGAGACCAGCCTGGGCAATGTGATGAAAATCCATCTCTACAAAAAATACAAAAAATTAACCAGGTGTGGTGGTGCACACCTATAATCCCAGCTACTCAGAAGGCTGAGGCACAAGAATCACTTGAACCCTGGAGGCATGATCTCAGTGACCCGAGATCATGCCACTGCACTCCAGCCTGGGCAATACAGTGAGACCTTGTCTCAAAAAAAAAAAAAAGAAAAAAAATGTTTTGAGGAAAAGTACAGGATTAAGATAAAATGTATTAACAATAGTATATCAGTGGGTTCATGAGAGACCTTGGAAAATACTAGGCTAAGCAATAATCATGTTTCACCTACTTAATGTGATTGATTCTCCTTTAAGATAATTATTTTTAAACCATTATAGATGTATGACGTTCTGATCTGAATATAAGTGTAATTATTAGCTTCAACTAGTTAAGAAGATTTGTCTTCGAAAAGACTTCATAAATATGAATTTTAGGCCAAGCCACTATTTTATGCTTACAGAAATTGGAGCCTGTAAAGGTTAAGTGACTTATCCCAAATTACTGCTAGTTGGCCTGAGATAATTCAAATATATTTCCTATAACACAAACTTTCCAAATACTCTTTTATAGCCGTATTACATAATTCTGATCAGATTTCAAATGTTAGGATAAGCAGTAGCATACTCCTTAATTCCAGTGGGAAATTAAAAACAAAATAAGGCCCAGAAATATCTATTCTTTGAGACAGTCGCTTGAGGCCAAGGCTTGAGTGCAGTGGAATGATCTCAGCTCACTGCAACCTCCACCTGCTAGGTTCAAGCAATCCTCCCACCTCAACCTTCCAAGTAGCTGGGACCACAGGTGCACACCAATACCTGGCTAACTGTTGTACTTTTTTGCAGAGACAAAAAAGAGACAGGGTTTCACCATGTTGCCCAGGCTGGTCTGGAACTCCTGAGCTCAGGTAATCCACCCACCTCTTCCTCCCAAAGTGCTGGGATTACAGGTGTAAGCACCACAACCGGCCACAAAAATACCTTTGTTTTGTAGCAAAGTTTGATGTTTGACAATGATTGCTTAAAAGTGGAGAATTCTCAATAAAATCTTAACCAGAGTTTTTGTGTTGTGTAAATTAAAGAAAAATTTTAGACTGAATCACACTTTGCTGATGAGACAATGCAAAAATATTTTTTCAAGCCTCCATTATTTAATTTTTCCTGAGTGTGTGTATGTGAAGAGACAGAATCTCATTCTGTTGCCCAGGCTTGATGGAGTACAGTGGTGCAATCATAGCTCGCTGTAATCTCTAACCCCTGTGCTCAAAAGAATCCTCCCAGCCGGGCACAGTGGCTCATGCCTGTAATCACAGCATTTTGGGAGGCTGAGGTGGGCAGATCACCTGAGGTCAGGAGTTCAAGACCAGCCTGACCAACATGGAGAAACCCCGTCTCTACTAAAATACATAATTAGCTAGGCGTAGTGGCACATACCTGTAATCCCAGCTACCCGGGAGGCTTAGGCAGGAGAATCGCTTGAACCCAGCAGGGCGGAGGTTGCAGTGAGCTGAGATCTTGCCATTGCACTCCAGCCTGGGCAACCAGAGCGAAACTCCATCTCAAAAGAAAAAAGAGTCCTCCCACTTCAGCCTCCTGAGTAGGCTGGGACTGCAGGGATGTGCCACCACACCCCACTAATGTTTAAAAACTTTTTGTAGGCTGGGCTGGTGGCTCACGCCTATAATCCCAGCACTTTGGGAGGCCGAGGCGGGTGGATCACGAGGCCAGGAGATCGAGACCATCCTGGTTAACACAATGAAACCCCATCTCTACTAAAAATACAAAAATTAGCCAGGCATGGCGGCATGTGCCTGTAGTCCCAGCTACTCAGGAGGCTGAGGCAAGAGATCGCTTGAACCTGGGAGGCAGAGATCGCAGTGAGCCAAGATCATGCCATTGCTCTCCAGCTTGGGTGACAGAGTGAGACTCTGTCTCAAAAAAATTTTTTTTTGTAGAGAAAGGGTGTCAGTCTGCTGCCCAAGCTGGTCTCAAATTCCTGGGCTCAAGGTATCCTCCCACCTTGGCCTCCCAAAGTGCTGGGATTACAAGTTTGAACCGTTATGCTTGGCTAATTTGTCCTGACTTTTTTTTTTTTTTTTAATACAGGGTCTTGCTCTGTGGCTCAGGCTGGAGTGCAGTGGTGTAGTCTCTGCTCACTGCAACCTCTGCCTCCCAGGTTCAAGTGATTCTCCTGCCTCAGCCTCCTGAGTAGCTGGGATTATAGGTGCCCACCACCATGCCCAGCTAACTTTTGTATTTTTAGTAAAGCAGGGTTTCACCATTTTAGCCAGACTGCTCTCGAACTCCTGACCTCAAGTGATCCACCCACCTCAGCCTCCTAAAGTGCTGGTGTGAGCCACTGCACCTGACTTATCCTAATCTTTATCGAGAAAATATGGCCTTTTCTTGTTGCTCAAAAAAGGTGTTTTTTCCCTCATGTACAGGCAGAGGTCTAGAGCTGCTCCTGGCTCTTGTACTCTACTTTGACCCAAGGAGATCCTCATTTCTCTTCCAAGGTGAGTGTGTAACCAACATAAAATATGACTTCCCTTTAATTCAACTAGATATTTAATGAATTCTGCACATTCCAGATGTGCTAAAAAGCTAGTCTTTAAGCTTTGCCTTAGTAATTTGTGTAGAAGGGTATAGGTAAAGGTATAGCCGTGGTGGTATGTGCCTGTGGTTCCAGCTACTCAGAGGCTGAGGTGGGAGGATTGCTTGAGCCCGGGAGGTAGAAGTTGCAGTGAGCCGAGTTCATGCCTTATATGTTACTTGTGCTTTTCCCTTAGGATTTCCCCTGAACTGTTCTGTTAACCTCAATTCCTGTCCTCCCGATCTTTTGTATAAAGAACCACTGATGGAACACTGTGTATTTCCCTTACGTGCCATACCTGTTCATACCTCTCAGGAACAGAAGTGTAACCCTTGCTCCCACTCTCGACCTAGCAATCTAATCCTTCTTAAGAGATGTTGGAAGAAAAATTATTGACATTGCAATTCATAAAAACATGACATCCCAGAGCTTAACCTAAAGTTGTAAGAGAGTGTTTTAAAGAAACTTAATTTTCTTTTTTCTTTTTTTTTTTTGAAACGGAGTCTTGCCCTGTCACCCAGACTGGAGTGCAGTGGCACAATCTCTACTCACTACAACCTCCGCCTCCCGGCTTCAAGCAGTTCTCCTGCCTCAACCTCCCGACTAGCTGTGATTACAGATGCACGCCACACGCCCAGCTAATTTGTGTATTTTTAGTAGAGACGGGGTTTCACCATGTTGGCCAGGCTGGTCTTGAATGCCTGACCTCGTGATCTGCCCACCCTGGCCTCCCAAAGTGCTGGGATTACAGGCATGAGCCACCGTGCCTAGCCCAACACTATTTTAATGGTATCAAAATTATTCCTTTGTGGCTGGGCACAGTGGCTCATACTTGTAATCCCAGCATCTTGGGAGACTGAGACAGGAGGAATGCTTGATGCCAGAAGTTCAAGACCAGACTGAGCAACATAGCAAGACCTCATCACTACAAAAAAAAAAGGTTTAAAATTAGCCAGTCACAGTGGCATACAACTATAGTCCTAGCTACTTAGGAGGCTGAGGCAAGAGGATCACTTGAGCCCAGGAGTTCTAGGTTAAAGTGAGCTGTGATCATGCCACTGTACTCCAGCCTGGGTGACAGAGTGAGACCCCCAGCTCAAAAAATTTAAAAAGTATTATCTTGCAAAATTTGCTAAGTAATGGTCATTCTTCAACTGTGATGTTGTCATAATGCCATGGATGTTTTCAGGGTTAACAAAATTTTGTGGTATTCTTTTGTGTGTGTGTGTGTGTGTGTGTGTGAGGTAGGGTCTCCCTCTATTGCCCAGGCCGGAGTGCAGTGTGCAATCATGGCTTGAAGCCTTGTGACATCCCGCCTCAATTGATCCTCCCACCTCAGCCTCCCAAATAGATGGGACTACAGGTGCACACACCATGCCTCGTTTTTGTTTTGTTTTGTTTCTGTATTTTTGGTAGAGAGAGGGTTTCACCACATTGCCCAAACTGATCTTGAACTCCTCGCTCAATTGATCCACCTGCCTTGGCCTCCCAAAGGGGTGGAATTACAGGCATGAGCCACCATACCCGGCCTGAAAATAAAAAAAAAAAAAAAAAACACACAAGAAACTTTTGAATCGATTTATTCTACCACATTTAGAACAACCGCTGCTTATCATAGACAGGCTATTTGATTCTTCCAATCAGGTTTATCAAAACTGAAGATTCCAATTTAACATCTTTAATACAAACATGTTTTATTAATATATTGACAAAAAAAGTAAATCTTATTCATAACTTGAGTTTAAAATTTAAAATTCCATATATTACTGAAGTTAAGCTAATATAAATCTCAATCTGATTCTGATAAATTAAGATGTATATGGAAAACAATCACCAAACACAAATAATATGTATATGGAAACCCTAAAGCAAACACTAAAAAACCCCTCAAAAATTAGTGATTTAAAAAAAGACAAAAAATAGTGATAAAAATCATTAAAGAAATTAAAACATTAAATTAGAAAGTATTCTTTTGGGCTGGGCGTGGTGGCTCACACCAGTAGTCCCAACACTTTGGGAGGCTGAGTCAGGAGGATCACTTGAGGCCATGAGTTTAAGACCTGTATTTGAGTGAGACCTTGTTTATACAAAAAAATTTTAGAAGTTAGCTGAGTGTGGTGGTACATGCCTATAGTCCCAGCTGCTCTGGAGGCTGAGGCCAGAGAATCTGTTGAGCCCAGGAGTTCAAGGCTGCAGTGAGCTATGATCACACCACTGCAGTCTAGCCCCAAAGACAGAGTGAGACACTGTCTCTTGAAATTAAGACAATATAATATTCGGCCGGGCGCGGTGGCTCATGCCTGCAATCCCAGCACTTTGGGAGGCCAAGGCAGGTGGATCGCAAGGTCAGAAATTCAAGACCAGCCTGGCCAACATGGTGAAACCCCCATCTCTAGTGAAAATATAAAAATTAGCCATGCGTGGTGGCACGCACCTGTAGTCCCAGCTACTCGGGAGGCTAAGGCTGGAGAATTGCTTGAATCTGGGATGCAAATTCAAGTGAATCAAGATCGTGCCACTGTACTCCACCCTGGGTGACAGAGCAAGACTCTGTCTCAAAAACAAAAAAGAAAAGAAAGTATAATATTCACTTAACACAGAAGAAAGCAATAGACCTGCAAGTGCTTTCTGATCTTAAAAAAAAAAAAAAAAGAACAACAAAGCAGTAAGGGAGAAATAAAGGGGGGAAAAAAAAACACGAGGCAAAAGAGAAGTAAGATGGCAAACACAAATCCAGCCATATCAATAATAGCATTAAATGTGAATGGGGCTGGGCGCAGTGGCTCACACCTGTAATCGCAGCACTTTGGGAGGCCGAGGCAGGCGTATCACCTGAGGTCAGGAGTTTGAGACCAGCCTGGCCAACATGGTGAGACCCTGTCCCAACTAAAAATACAAAAATTAGCCAGACATGTTGGTGCGGGCCTGTAATCCCAACTACTTCGGAGGCTGAGGCAGGAGAATCACTTGAATCTGGGAGGTGGAGCTTGCGTTAATCTGAGTATTGAAAGTATTTGAGTATCAAAACTGAGTATCTCATATATATAATCTGAGTATCCAAATAATCAAAAAAAAAAAAAAAAAAAAAAAAGAAGTGAATGGAACAACCAAATAAAAAAGCTGTTGTCAGTTTGGTTCAAAAGAAAAGTTCCTGCCACTGTCTAAGTGACAGGCGAGACTCCATCTCACAAAAAAAAAAAAAAAAAAAAAAGAAAAATTCAACTGCTATATGTTTTGTCTGCCAAGAGCAAGATATACTTTATTCTTTAATTTTATTTTAAAATCAGAGACGGGGTTTCACCATGCTGGCTAGGCTGGTCTTTTTTTTTTTTTTTGCAGACAGTCACATCTGTGTGCAGGCTTTTTTTTTTTTTTTTTTTTTTTTTTTTTTTTTTTTGAGACAGAGTCTTGCTCTGTCGCCCGGGCTGGAGTGCAGTGGCCGGATCTCAGCTCACTGCAAGCTCCGCCTCCCGGGTTTACACCATTCTCCTGCCTCAGCCTCCCGAGTAGCTGGGACTACAGGCGCCCGCCACCTCGCCCGGCTAGTTTTTTGTGTTTTTAGTAGAGACGGGGTTTCACCGTGTTCGCCAGGATGGTCTCGATATCCTGACCTCGTGATCCGCCCGTCTCGGCCTCCCAAAGTGCTGGGATTACAGGCTTGAGCCACCGCGCCCGGCCGCTAGGCTGGTCTTGAACTCCTGATCCCGGGTGATCTGCCCGCCTCAGCCTTTCAATTACAGGCTTGAGCCACTGCCCCCCGCCTTGTTTTTTTTTTTGTTTTTTTTTTTTTTTTTTGGAGACAGAATTTCACACTGTTTCCCAGACTGGAGTGCAGTGATGTGATCTCAGCTCACTGCAACTTCCACCTCCCAGGTTCAAGCGATTCTCCTGTCTCAGCCTCCCGAGTAGCTGGGATTACAGGCATGCACCACCACACCCAGCTAATTTTGTATTTTTAGTAGAGACAGAGTTTCTTTATGTTGGTCAGGCTGGTCTCAAACTCCCGTCCTCGGGTGATCCGCCCACCTTGGCCTCCCAAAGTGTTGGGATTACAGGCATGAGCCACCACGCCAGGCCCCAATTTTTTTATTTTTCATAGAGATGCAGTCTCACTATGTTGACTTGGATGGGCTCAAATTTTTATTCAATAGGTTTATGCTTGACTAATGAAAAATGAAGTTTCTGGGTTTCTGATATTTTTCTATTAACTAAATAGAGAGACATAAAAATACATATATATACACATATAACATAGAGGGGACTGTCGGTATACATATTGTCAAGAACAACACCTTAGAGACATTGTTTTTTAAATTTTACATTTTTAATAGAAAAACAACTTTTATGACAGCTAAATATACACGGTAAATTTAATTCTTAAAAAGAAAAATTGGCCAGGCATGGTGGCTCCTGCCTGTAATCCCAGCACTTTGGGAGGCCAAGGTGGGTGGATCACCTGAGGTCAGGAGTTTGAGGCCCACCTGACCAACATGCAGAAACCCCCATCTCTACTAAAAAAAAAAAAAAAAAAAAAATTAGCCAGGTGTGGTGGCAGGTGTCTGTAATCCCAGCTACTTGGGAGGCTGAGGCAGGAGAATCACTTGAACCCAGGAGGCAGAGGTTGCGGTGAGCTGAGATTGCGCTGTTGCACTCCAGCCTGGGCAACAAGAGCCAAACTCTTGTCTCAAAAAAAAAAAAAGAAAAAGAAAAATTATTAGTAAGAACAGGCCAGGTGTGATGGCTCATACCTGTAATCCCAGCACTTGGGGAGGCCGAGGCGGGCGGATTGCCTGAGCTCAGGAGTTCGCGACCAGCCTGGGCAACAAGGTGAAACCCCATCTCTAACAAAATACAAAAAAATTAGCTGGGCGTGGCAGCGTGTGCCTGTAGTCCCAGCTACTTGGGAGGTTGAGGCAAGGTGAACTGCTTGAACCTGGGAGGCGGAGGTTGCCGTGAGCCAAGATTGCGCCACTGCACTCCAGCCTGGGCAACAGAGTGAGACTGTCTCAAAAAAAAAAGAAAAAAAAAATAATAATGGCAGACTTCTAGTGGTACATGCACTGAAATAACCTTATAAGTCTTTAGAGAAAAATATTAATGCCAGACTCTTGGTGCATAAAAAGCATATTTATTACACAGTTTATACCAAAAGCGCATTTGAAATACACATTACTCTGGTACAATAAGGTGGGAAACTCAGCCTCAATGTTAATTCAGCCTTGATCTTAATATAGTCTGTCTCTTAGTGCATACCTCATAGTTTGTCTCAAAAGTTGAAAATTACAAGCAATTTTCTGTTGATAGCTTCATCTGTAATTTTGGCAAAAGTTTTTTTTTCTTTGAGATAGGGTCTTGCTCTATCACCCAGGCTGGAGTGCAGTGGCACAATCTTTTGGGCTCAAGTGATTCACCCACTTCACCCTCCCAAGTAGCTGGGACCACAGGTGTGCACAATCACGCCATGCTAATTTTTAAAATTTTTTGTAGAGATGGGGTCTTGCTATATTGCCCAGGCTGGTCTTAAACTCCTGAACCCAAGACATTCTCCTGCCTCAGCCTCCTAGAGTACTGGAATTATAGGTGTGAGCCATTATGCTTTAAAAAAAGCTTTAATTATTATTTTGCTAATTTTCTACAGTCATGTCAGTTTCACATGAAACATCTGAGTACCATTTTTGATGAAAATTGTAGAATAGGGATCGTAATATTTTCAGACTTTTTAAACAAATTGAATCACAAGTTTTTTTTTTTTTTTTTTGAGACAGAGTCTTGCTCTGTAGCCCGGGCTGGAGTGCAGTGGCCGGATCTCAGCTCACTGCAAGCTCCGCCTCCCGGGTTTACGCCATTCTCCTGCCTCAGCCTCCCGAGTAGCTGGGACTACAGGCGCCGCCACCTCGCCCGGCTAGTTTTTTGTATTTTTAGTAGAGACGGGGTTTCACCGTGTTAGCCAGGAGGGTCTCGATCTCCTGACCTCGTGATCCGCCCGTCTCAGCCTCCCAAAGTGCTGGGATTACAGGCTTGAGCCACCACGCCCGGCACAAGTATTTATTATATATAAAAATAAAACAAAGCAGATTTATTTTTTTATAGAGTTGGGGGGTCTCTATGCTCCCAGGCTGGTCTTGAGCTCCTGGCCATCCTCCAGCCTTAGCTTCCAAAAGTGCTGGGATTATAGGTGTGAGCCACCACACCTGGCCCAAAAAGTAAATTTTAAGACACTTTTAGATTTTAATTTTTGAAAAACAAAATCATTTTATTTGTAGGGGTGAGTTAAAGTGATTAAAATAATAACTTGGATAGCCAACTTGTATAGAGTTACTTTCTTAAGATCAATGGATGAAGCAACTAAATTAAGAATTACACACATCAGAGTGAACGAAGATTCTTTGAAAAAATAAAAAAACTTAAAAAAATAAAAAGAACTATGCACAGAGGTGCTAAATAGGCAGTCAGACCCCTCATATCATGTATTATGCAGCTTCTTGCAAAAAGTTGAATTGCTACTCTTTTTAATGTTTGCTTTTGTTCACTTAAAACTTTTTTTTAATATATAAAATGTTAAAATAAGTTGAGGAATCAGGTTTCCCTTTTTTTTTTTTTTTTTTTTTTTGAGACAGAGTCTTGCTCTGTCACCCAAGCTGGAGTACAGTGATGTGATCTTAGCTCACCAGAACCTCTGTGGGCTCAAGCGATCCTTCCACCTCAGACTCCCGAGTAGCTTGGATTATGGGTGTGTGACACCATGCCTAGCTACTTAAAATTAATTTTTAAAAAACTTTTTTTTTGAGATGGAGTATTGCTCTGTTGTCCAGGCTGGAGTGCAGTGGCATAATCTTGGCTCATCACAACCTCTGCCTCCCAGGTTCAAGCGATTCTCCTGCCTCAGTCTCCTGAGTAGCTGGACTACAGGCACATGCCACCATGCCCAGCTAATTTTTGTATTTTTAGTAGAGACAGGGTTTCACTACGTTGGCCAGGCTGGTCTCGAACCCCTGACCTTGTGATCCACCCACATCAGCCTCCCAAAGTTCTGGGATTACAGGTGTGAGCCACCATGCCTGGCCCTTTTGTTTTTTTTTTTTTGAGAGACAGTGTTGCCCTGCCTCCCATGCTGGAGTGCAGTGGCACAATCTCACCTCACTGCAACCTCTGCCTCCCAGGTTAAAGCGATTCTCCTGCCTCAGCCTCCTGAGTAGCTGGGATTACAGGTGTGAGCCACCACGCCCAGCCTAATTTTTGTATTTTTAGTAGAGACAGGGTTTCACCATGTTGCCCAGGCTGGTCATGAACTCCTGACCTCAAGTGATCCGCCCACCTCGGCCTCCCAAAGTGCTGGGATTACAGGCATAAGCCACTGTGCCAAGCCTTAAAAAACTTTTAAAACGTGCTCAATCTTAAAACAAAAATCAGTATGGAGTCACTCACATATGCTTGTTTTCTGTGGTCTCACACAGTCTCTCATTTAGATTAGTCACATATATGCTGATTTTTTTATCACAATGAAAAGAAAGAAAAAAGGGTTTCAGAAGATAGAATCCATGAAGAGGCTAGTAATGAATCCTCTGACCACAGAAAATCAGTGATAGACTGCAAGATCACAATTTATCAGTATCGTAACAAAAAGGTATAATAAATTTTTTCTAAAATACCCAGTTCATTTTTACAACGAATCACACTGATAAATATTTCTAAATGATTCATGTACTTTCATATGAGGTTATTAATAGTTATGCTTTTCTGGTATTAGTTTTTTCCTATTCTTGCTTCAAGGTCCAACCATAAATTTCTGGACAGTCTCAAATATCCCAAGGGCTAGGAATAAACCACAAAAGTGATAATTCATCAACATTTATTTTTACCAATGCAATAAATAAATCTGTCATGAAGTTAATTTCTCCTAATTTGTATAAAATAATCCCATTAACCTGTGAAAAGTAATGATCATATTGATTTTTCTAGGGCTCAAACCCTTAGACAAATATCTCTTTGATTACCTGTTAGTGTAAAGAAAACTGAATGCATTTTATATTAATATTTAAACTACTGGTAACTGTAAACAAAGTAGCATTTATTAAAATATACACTTAATTTATACTAAATTCCAGGGAGATTTATACAAGTTTTTCAGCCTTAATTTTTAAAGGAACACATGATTTTTTTTTAAACATTACTAGTCAAGTATATACAAAATTGAAACATGCCATTCAAGCCAGATTGTGATTTTAAAATAACAAACCTCTAAATAGCTAAGTAATGTACAATGTGTAAAATTCTAGGTGTAATTCTTACATAAATATTGGCCCTATAATACAGAGCGATATTTACAAGCAAACATGATCCAAACAGCACATGCAGATTCAGGGTAAGTAAACACTCGGACACGAACTGCCAGTCGCACTTGGTCTCCACGGCAACAGATTATTTCTTCACAGAAAGGAGATCTATTTAAGAAAAAAAAATTATTCAATTAAGAAGTGACCATACACTTTACTTCCTTATTTGCAAGTAAATCAGTATTTCAAATAATTTTTTCAGGCTAGGCATGGTGGCTCATGCCTGTAATCTCAGCACTTTGGGAGGCCGAGACAGGTGGATCACCTGAGGTCAGGAGTTCAAGACCAGTTTGGCCAACATAGTGAAACCCCATCTCTACTAAAAATTACAAAAATTAGCCAGGTATGGTGGCAAGTGTCTGTAATCCCAGCTACTTGGGAGGCTCAGGCAGGAGAATCACTTGAATCCGGGAGGCAGAGGTTGCAGTGAGCCAAGATTGTGCCACTGCACTCTAGCCTGGGTGACAGACTGAGACTCCATCTCAAAAATAAATAAAAAAAATTTTTTTTTCAAATTCTGTCTCTGCTATCAAAGACACTATAATTTTGGTCAAGCTATTCAAATTATAGACTATTTCCTTATAGTCCAAACAAAATCAGAGATACCTGAGACTGCACCAAAATCACTGGGAAAATAATCCCAGACTATCTAGGGCTACGTTTCAGACCAAATGAATCAAAATCTGTGGCAAGGAGGGTAAGTCACTGTAAAAGCTCCCATGTGACTCGGATGTCATTCCTAAATAACTACCAGATTAGGCTGGGTGCAATGGCTCACACGTGCAATCCCAGCACTTTGGGAGGCCGAGGTGGGAAGACTGCTGGGGCCCAGGAGTTCAAGACCAGCCTGGACAACACAGGAAGACCCCATCTCTACAAAATAAAGATTTAAAAAAATAGCCACGTATGGTGGCACGTGCCTGTGGTCCCAGTTGCTTGGAAGAGTGAGGTGGAAGGATCACTTGGGCCCAGGAGGTCAAGGCTGCAGTGAGCCATAACTGTGCCACTATACTCCAGCGTGGGCAGCAGAGCAAGACCTTGAGTTAAAAAAATTAAAAAAACACGAAATAAAAAAAACCGTGCCAGACTGATCTCTAAGATTCCTAAACTGAAAAAAGGATTCCATAAATTACACCTTACCGAAGACATGTGGCAAATGCACGTCTTGCATTTCTATACACAAAATGTATTGGGAACCCTTTAAATGTGTGACCATCAGGCACAGCCCTTCTTATGGCATCTTGAAATTCTTCATTGCCTGCTGAAATACTTGTTGTACGCTCAAATTCGTAAGAAGCCAAAGCTGGTGATAAAAGGTAGGAGAGCTGGTCTTCCCAAACAGTAGTGAGGCCAAGATCCTATAAGCAATCAAGAGAAAAAGAAAAAGTGAAATACAAAAATATTTTCAAAACCAACTAAATAAAAATGTTGATCATTTTAATGTATACCAAGAAAAGATTTTTAAAAGCTATCATAATATTTTAATAATAATAATTATAGGGATGCATAGAAATAAAAATCAGATAAAAGGAACTACAGGTGATCAGATTTTACTTCTTAGAGAAATAACCAAAAAAAAAATTCAAAACAATGACGTTCACGAGGTCCCCAAATCCTGTAGTACTCTAATATCTACTACAAAATACTATATGAAATAGTCTTAATATGGAGGACAGGTATAATTCTTACATTTTGAGATATTTTGAGATATTTTACTTAACTTTAAAGAGTTTAGGCCGCGCGTGGTGGCTCACGCCTGCAATCCCAGCACTTTGGGAGGCCAAGATGGGCTGATCACGAGGTCAGGAGATTGAGACCATCCTGGCTAACATGGGGAAACCCTGTCTCTACTAAAAATACAAAACATTAGCCGAGCGAGGTGGCGGGTGCCTGTAATCCCAGCTACTCAGGAGGCTGAAGCAGGAGAATAGCGTGAAGCCGGGAGGCAGAACTTGTAGTGAGCCGAGATCATGCCACTACACTCCAGCCTGGGCGACAAAGCGAGACTCTGTCTCAAAAAAAAAAAAAGAGCTTAGTAAGAATGAATCTGTTTACTAAAGACTGACTCTTCCTACCATAAACTGAACTGCAGAGGTGAGAAAAGTCAACAAATTAATTCTATATGTGATTAAACAAATATTTACTGAACATGTACTCTATAAAACTTATATACTGTAAGAGATAAAAAGATGAACACATTTTACAGGCCCCTAGGGAGCTTAAAACATATTTCTGTGCAATGTTAAAAACACATGATTCCACTTATTTTTTATTTTTTTTAATTTTTGGAGACAGAGTCTTACTCTGTTGCCCAGGCTGGAATGTAGTGGCGCGATCTTGGCTCGCTGCAACCTCTGCCTCCCAGGTTCAAGTGATTATCCTGCCTCAGCCTCCTGAGTAGTTGGCATTACAGGCACCCACCACCAAGCCCGGCTAATTTTTGCATTTTTTGTAGAGACGGGGTTTCACCATGTTGGCCAGGCTGGTCTCAAACTCCTGACCTCAAGTGATCCACCCACCTTGGCCTCCCAAAGTGCTAGGATTTACAGGCATGAGCCATCGCACCCAGCCCATGATTCCATTTGTAACACCAAATGATATCTATTGATATCTAGACATATGAAGTTAAAAATAATATTGTTACAAATACAAAAAATTCTCAAAATTCTAGATATTTTGATTATCGTAATGGATCTCTGGCATTTCCTCATTTCACATTCAAGGTTTTAACTCGTCACAAATGGTCTCAAAGGTCCATGATTAACAATGCTTCTCCTGAGGCAAAATGTGAACTTTTGCTGATTTACAGGCACCTTAACTTAAATAGTGATCAACACTGGCATCCGTCACAGTTTCGTTTTCTTTTTCTATAAACAGTAATTCTTTCTTTCTTTTTTTTTTTTTTTTGAGACAGGGTCTTACTCTGTCACCCAGGCTGGAGTGCAGTGGCACAATCTCGGCTCACTGCAACCTCTGCCTCCCTGGCTCCTTTCACCTCAGCCTCCCAGTAGCTGGGACTAGAGGCATGTGCCACGACACCCGGCTAATTTTTGTACTTTTTGTAAAGAGAGGGTCTCACCATGTTGCCCAGGCTGGTCTTGAACTCCTGAGCTCAAGCGATCCACCCATCTCAGCCTCCCAAACTGCTGGGATTACAGGCGTGAGACACCGTGCCTGGCCAAAAGTAATTCTTATAAGATATTGCTTTTATTTGTAAGCAGAACCTAAGACAAGAAAGCTAAAGGCAATACAAGTGATGGAAGGAAAGAAAAAGTAATAAGGGGCATTCATTTCCAGCAATATAATGGACCAGAGGTATCCTGATCAACTCTTGCTGAAACCATATTACAAATGCCAAGTTTTCCAAAATATATATTTAAATGCTTTGATAAGTTGACAAGTAAGAAATATATTAGAGGCCAAAGCTAAGAGTAACTGGGAACCCAGAGAACATGTTTGATAAATCAGTTTGCCTTTGATAGCCTCAAAGAACATAGAAAACAGGGCTCACCCAAGGTGGGGACTGGAACAGGGAACCCTAAAAGGCGAATTAGAAATAAATCTTGTAGGAATTTTGCATTCTAGTCCTTTGTTGGTGATATGTGTTACAAATAACTTTTCCCACCCCACAGCTTCAATCTCTTAATGTTTTCTTTTGATGAACTTAAGTCTTTAAGATATAATCTTTTCCTTTATGACTTAATACTTTTTATATCTTCTTAAAGGCACTTTACAAAGGAAAGCTACATGCTATTTGACAAGAGGCTTGATCTGGCTGGGCACAGTGGCTCACAACTGTAATCCTAGCACTTTGGGAGGCTGAGGCAGGTAGATCACTTCGAGACCAGCCTGGCCAACATGGTGAAACCCTATCTCTACAAAAAATACAAAAATTGGCAGCATGGTAGCACATGTCTATAATCCTGGTCATTCAGGACGCGGAGACAGGAGAATTGCTTAAACCTGGGAGGTGGAGGTTGCAGTGAACCAAGATCACATCACTGCGCTCCAGCCTGGGTGACAGAGCGAGAGACTCCATCTTAAAAATAAAAAATAAAAATAAAAGAGGCTTGATCTCATAAGTAATCAGGGAAATGCAGATTAAAGCCAGACATCTACTTAGTTGAGTATAATATGAAAACAAACAGAAACCAACCTGGGGAGAAAAATGAATATGAAAAAAATATAACCCAGTATACATATTTTTTCTTTAAAAAATAATAGAGATAGTGTTTCACCATATTCCCCAGGCTGGTCTTGAATTCCTGGGCACAAGCGATCCACCCACCTCAGCCTCCCAAAGTGCTGGGATTATAGGCGTGAGCCATCAAGCCCAGCCTAACCCAGGATTTTTAAAGGGGCAAATATGTGAATAAGCATTTCACAAAGAGGAAATCCAAATAGTGGTGTTCAGCAAAAATCTTGACTCTAAGGGATGTGAACAAGTTCACCATTCTTCATTTCTAAGAGGAAGTAATTCATTCTATAAATATTAATTAATTTGGAGATTTTTGAGTCTCAGAAAAACTCTCACGACTTTCAAAATTATAAGCTTCGTAATAGTAGGGACTGTAGTTGTTTTGTTCAGGTCTAGAATAATGACTGGCACTATCACACACACCAAAAAATAGTTAAATACAATAATACACAAATGAAAAGAAGTAGGAAACTACAACTGTTTCAGTGTGAATTACCTTCCTGTGTTCTGATACTAGGAGCCTCAGCTGCATTTCAATTTCATTACTTGTTACTGATGCGTCAATTGTGGACGCACACAGAGGTGGAAAGGGAGGAAGGGATGTTGTAGCTCCAGGAGCACACACAGATTTAATTGCTTCCTCACTCATGGGTTTCCATTTGGATTCATCATTCAAATCAAATACACAGGTTTCTACTGCATCAGAGGGTTGACAATTTCCCAGGAACATCTGATGGTTGAAAACACAACCAATTGTTCGATATGGGTACAGTGGCTTGGGCTGTTCAGCAACTGGAGGTTCATCAGGATTGGTAGGTTTATGGATGTACCTAAAAAAATTAAATAATTTTATATATGAGAACTTAAAAATTAAGAAGGCAGCATCTTACTGAGAAAATTATTCTAACACTTAAGGCCATAACTACTTTTCAGAACTAGAGTTTAATACTTGTTTTTCTTCATTTCCACAATTTGATTACTCTGTATTAATTGTACGGTACATCTTACAATACTGAAACCAACTCTAAACAACAGAATACATTCTATGTATACTGTTAAGATCAAAGGCCAGGTGCGGTAATACCAGCACTTTGGTAGGCCAACGCAGGTAGATCACTTGAGGTCAAGAGTTTGAGACCAGCCTGACCAACATAGTGAAACCCTATCTCTACTAAAAACACAAAAATTAGCTGGGCGTGGGAGTGCGTGCCTGTAGTCCCAGCTACTTGGGAGGCTGAGCCAGGAGAATTGCTTGAACCTGGGAGGCGGAAGTTGCAGTGAGCCGAGATGGCATCATTGCACTCCAGCCTGAGCAACAAGAGTGAAACTCCGTCTCCAAGAAAAAAAAAAAAAATCAAAAAAGTTTGCCTCAGATAACATAATTAAAATAATCTGGTTATGCATTTTTAGGCACAACTAACCAAAACATCACTGGGCATGATTATCAACCAGGGAGAAAAAGGACTCAGGGAATGAAAAAGGGCCCATGGCTGGGCCTCTAGAACACATACATTTGAAGACAAGATGAAGGAAAAACTGCGAACAGCCAGAGAGGAATAATGAATATTGAAAGACAATTATAAGAAGTAAGCTAAGGAAAGAGAATATTCCAGGAAGAGAAGTGAGACAGCCAGGTGGAAAGGGGTCCCCAGAGAAACTCCAACCAGCCTGTGCACTGGGAGGAGCGCACACTGGGGTGGAGCCACACAAGTTCGAGCAATTTGCAATGGGGAGGAGCCTGGCCCCTCCTCTTCCTGAGTGGACCCTGGAAGTGAATCTGCGAGGCAGGAAGCACACTAGCAGGCACTCTGGCTTTGTGGAGGGTCCCTGTTTCCCAGTTTTTTTCCTTTGTCCAATAAATTCCATTTTTCTCCCCCCTCGAATTGCCTACGAGCCTAATTTTTCGTGGCCGTGTGACAAAGACCCAGCTCTTAGCTGAACTAATGAGGAAGTCCTACAACAGAGGTACTCAGCTCTTTCAAAATCTAATGACAGGCTAAAGTACTTCAAAAAATGTGTCCAGTGGATTGCCAACATGGAGATGGTAACCACATCAAATTTTAAAAAGAAATAATGATTTACAACTTGAACTTATTTTCAGGCTTAGGGATGATCATCAGAAAAAAACATATGCTGGCCAGGTGTGGTGGCTCAGCACTTTGGGAGGCCGTGGCGGACAGACTGCTTGAGCCCAGGAGTTAAAGACCAGCCCAGACAACACAGCAAAACCTCATCCCTACAAAAAAATTAGCTAGGCATGGCTGTGCACACCTGCAGTCCCAGCTACCCAAGAGGCTGAGGTAGGAGAACCACTGGAACCCAGGAAGGGGATGCTGCAGTGGGCTGTGACTGTGCCACTACACTCCAGCCTGGGCAACAGAGTGAGACACTGCCAAAAAAAAAAAAAGAGAGAAAACTGAAAAAAAAAAAAAAGATGCTAATCATACACAACTAGTAAATATAATTTACTGTTTACCAACATCATGTTGGTAAAGAATATTTGAGGTAAAAGTTTTCTTAGAGTTCACTTACTTAGCTGCCATAATTGAAGTACTTTTTTACGTAATCACTAAAAAGGCTCTAACTAAAATCATCAACACGTACCTTCAAGTACCATCAATATGGACAAAAAACCCTTATAATTTAAAATACTTAAAACTTAAGCTGGGCACAGTGGCTCAGGCCTGTAATCCCAGCACTTTGGGGGACTGAGGTGGGTGGATCACCTGAGGTCAGGAGTTTGAGACCAGCCTGGCCAACATGGTGAAAACTTGTCTCTACTAAAAATACAAAAATCAGCCAGGTGCAGTGTCGTGCACCTGTAATCCCAGCTACTGGGAGGCTGAGCCAGGAGAATCGGCTTGAACCTGGGAGGCAGAGGTTGCAGTGAGCTGAGATTGTGCCAGTGCACTCCAGCCTGGGCGACAGAGCAAGACTCCATCTCAAAAAAAAAAAAACTTATAACTTCATTTTAATATCCTTATACACTTAGTAGACTAACCTGTGTCCTGTTAAACTCTCCCAAAAAGTGATGGTCCCATCAGTTCCACAAGTCATAACCCATGCATGAGGTACGCCTTTTGCCTTGGTCCCAACACAAACAAAGGCTTCTAATCCATATCCAAGAAGAAGGCTGCACAGAAGGTTAGCGTGATCTTCACAGTCACCCTGGAAGATAAGACAAATTAAAATGAAGTATTCATTCTTCCATATTGTTTCCTCATTACTTACTTAAATACAAAGTTATAATAAAAATTTATTGGCCGGGCACAGTGGCTCACGCCTGTAATCCCAACACTTTGGGAAGCCGAGGCGGGTGGATCACTTGACGTCAGGAGTTGGAGACCAGCCTGGCCAACATAGGGAAACCCCGTCTCTACTAAAAATACAAAAATTAGCTGGGTGTGGTGGTGCACACCCATAGTCCCAGCTACTCGGGAGGCAAGGCAAGAGAATCACCAGAACCCGGGAGGCAGAGGTTGCAGTGAGCTGCAATCGTGCCACTGCATTCCAGCCCGGGCAACAAAGTGAGACTCTGTTTCCAAAAAAAAAAAAAAAGTTTTATAAAGAACTCACACAACATAGAAAGAAAAGTAGAATTTTTTTTTTTTTTTTTTTGAGACAGCCTTTTGCCTGTCCTGTCACCCAGGCTGGTGACAAGATTCACAGCAGCCTTGACCTCCCAAGCTTAAGTGATTTTCCTGTCTCAGCCTCCCAAGTAGCTAGAACTAAAGGTGTGCACTGCCACACCTAGCTAATTTTTTGTATAAACGGGGGTCTTACTGTGTTACCCAGGCTGCTCTTGAACTCCTGGGCTCAAGTGATCCTCCTGCCTCAGCCTCCCAAAGTGTTGGGATTATAGGCATGAGCTCCTGTTCCCAGCCTGGAATATTTTAATAGATTAATAGCTGAAGGACATGAACAAACAAGCAAACAAGTCATACAGCAAGAAATGCAAATAAATGGAAAGCACTCAACCAATGACTGATAGTATCTATATGTGATAATTTCAAGAAAATATATATATATAGGAAAAATGACTGGCAAGAACAACAAAATGCCAACAATGGTTACTACTGGGGAGGTTATATATAATTTTCCACTCTATTTTCCAGATTTTCTTTGAGGTGGTTATATTACTTTCAATTTTAAAAGTTATAAAGACCTATAAAAAACCAGAAAATATTAGTTGGGCATGGTGGTGTGTGCCTTTAATCCCAGCTACTCGGGAGGCTGAGGCAGAAGAATCACTTGAACCCGGGAAGCGGAGCTTGCAGTAAGCTGAGATCGTGCCACTGCACTCCAGCCTGGGCAACAGAGTGAGACTCTGTCTCAAAAAAAAAAGAAAAAAAAAAAGGAAAAGAAAAGAAAAGAAAATATCTGATACTGTGTTCTGTGAAAAAAATTACTAAGCTATTAAACAGTATGGCTACAATTTTGTATTTAAGTGTACGAAAACTACAGGCAAAAGCAAAAATAACTATTTGAGTTGAGTTTCAGAATGAAGAACTTTGGTTTTTTTTCCTCTCGAGATAGGGTCTAGTTCTGTCACCCAGGCTGTAGTGCAGTAGGGGTGATCTCAGCTCACTGCAGCCTTGACATCCCTAGCTCAAGCGATTCCCCCGCTTCAGTCTCCTGAATAGCTGGGACCACAGGCGCTCATCACCAGGCCCAGCAATTTTTTATGTTTTTGTAGAGACGGGGTTTCGCCAAGTTGCCCTGGCTGGTCTCGAATTCCTGGGCTCAAGCAATCTGCTTGCCTCAGCCTCCCAAAGTGCTGAGACTACAGGCATGAGCCACCTTACCTGGCCAAGAAATTTCTTTCTCCAAAAAATTTGCATTGGTGGTGCTAATTTTTTTTTTTTTTAAATTAACTGTAAGAAAACAAACAGCATTTTATAATTCTTAAAGTGACTTTACAAAAATGTAATAACCAATCTTTTATTTTTTAATTTACTTTTTTTTTTTTTGAGATGGAGTTTCGCTCTGTCACCCAGGCTGGAATGCAGTGGCGTGACCTTGGCTCACTACAACCTCCTCCTCCCAGGTTCCAACGATTCTCCTGCCTCAGCCTCCAGAGTTGCTAGGACTACACGCTAGGACTACAGGTGTGCACTACCACACCCAGCTAATTTTTGTATTTTTAGTAGAGACGGGGTTTCACCATTTTGGCCAGGTTGGTCTCGAACTCCTGACCTCAAGTGATCCGCCCACCTTGGCCTCCCAAAGTGCTGGCATTATAGGCATGAGCCACTGCATGTGGCCAATCAACCTTTTAGACCCAATTATTTCTGAGATTTTGTCCTAAAGAAAACTCAAAAGTATAATAATAATATCTGCAAAGATAGTCAATGTAAAAGTTCATTCATGATAACATCGAAAAATTAAAAATGAGCTCAGCTTTATGGCCAGGTGTGCCGGCTTTTGCCTGTAATCCCAGCACTTTGGGAGGCTGAGGCGGGCAGATCACTTGAGGCAAGGAGTTCAAGACCAGCCTGGCCAAGAAACCCCATCTCTACTGAAAATACCAAAAAAAGAAAAAAAAAGGTCAGGCATGGTGGCTCCATGCCTGTAGTCCCAGCTACTCAGGAGGCAGAAGTAGGAGAATTGCTTGAGGCCAGGAGGCAGAGGTTGCAGTGAGCCGAGATCATACCACTGCACTACAGCCTGGGTGACAGAGCGAGACCCCGTCCCAAACAAAACATAAGAAAACAAACAACAACAACAAAACCACTGAATTAAAAAAACGACCCTAACTTGGCAGTTAGGGAACTTAACAATAGGGAAATAGTTAAGTATATTTTGTATATTGACTCAATAAAACTTAAACACTCATTAAAAAAATGGAAATCAGCACTTCAGGAAGCCAAGGCGGGCAGATCACCTAAGGCCAGGGTTCGAGACCAGCCTGGCCAACACAGTGAAACCCCATTTCTACTAAAAATACAAAAATGAGCTGGGGGTGGTGGCATGCACCTGTAATCCGAGCTACTAGCGAGGCTGAGGCAGGATAATCACTTGAACCCAGGAGACGGAGGTTGCAGTGGGCCAAGATCGTGCCATTGCACTCCAGCCTGGGCGACAAGAGCAAAACTCCGTCTCATTTAATAAAAAAAAAAAAAAAAAAAGGAAATCAGAAAGATTGTAGCAACACATAGAAAAATGTTCATAGCATAATGCTTAATTGTAAAGCAAGATACAAAAATTTATTTACATTAATTATAATTATGGAATAAATGATACATATACGGGAGAAAAAATATAAAAAATGATAAACTGGGAATAGAATTATGGGTAAAGTTTCACCATTACTGTTAATGCTGTTGTTATATACATATACATACACACATATATATGTGTATATATATTTTTTAACTTGCTCTGTCGCCCCATTTGGAGTGCAGTGGCGCGATCTCGGCTCACTGCAACCTCCACCTCCCAGGTTCAAGCAATTCTCCTGCCTCGGCCTCCCGAGTAGCTGGGATTACAGGTGCATGCCCCCACGCCTGGCTAATTTTTTGTATTTTTAGTAGAGACAGGGTTTCACTGTATTAGCCAGGATGGTCTTGATCACCTGACCTCATGATCCGCCCGCCTCAGCCTCCCAAAGTGCTGGGATTACAGGCGTGAGCCACCACACCCAGCCTAAAGATAATTTTACTTGTTTGTTATCATACTATCAACATTTTTAGAATACAGATTAGGAAATATCCCATAATCTATAAAATTAGTTTACTGAAGTCAAGTCATTCAAAAAGTGTAATTAAATATACATTTGTATGTAAAACTAAACAAAATAGCATACCATTCAAGATTTCTTTTCTATATTCATTTTGTACTGCCATTTTATCTTTTTTTTTTTTTTTTTTTTTTTTTGAGATAGTTTCGCTCTTATTGCCCGGCTGGAATGCAATGGTGCAGTCTCAGTTCACAGCAAACTCTGCCTGCCAGTCTCAAGCAATTCTCCTGCCTCAGCCTCCTGAGTAGCTAGGATTACAGGCATGTGCCACCACGCCCAGCTAATTTTGTATTTTTAGTGGCGACAAGATTTCTCCATGTTGGTCAAGCTGGTCTCGATCACCTCAGGTGATCCGCCCACCTAGGCCTCCCAAAGTGCTGGGATTATAGGCATGAGCCACCGCACCTGGCCCCATTTTCTCTTTTTTAAAGATGTATTATCTGAGCAAATTTCAACACATCAATAGTACCAGAAAGCCATGGTCTGGTCCTGGTGCTGTCTCTAATTCATTCTGTAAGTTGATTTCTGACACTTTAGTACTTGTAGGTCCCTACATCACAGAAATCACAACAAGTTAAATAAGAAACCACATGAGAAAATAAAGATGCTGAGTTTTTTGTGTACTGATATTTAAATGTTATGAAAAACAGAACAAGGTTCTGACGTGGTCAAGTTGATAGCACAGCTGTCTCACGGTACCCAAAGGGTTAGTTCCAGGACCCTTGCAAAAGAAAATCCATGGATACTCAAGGCTTATATAAAATGGTATACAGTATTTTTTTTTTTTTTTTTTTTTTTTTTTTGAGATGGAGTCTTGCTGTGTCCTCAGGCTGGAGTGCAATGGCACAATCTTGGCCCACTGCAACCTCCACCTCCCAGGTCTAGGCGATTCTCCTGCCTCAGCCTCCTGAGTAGCTGGGATTACAGGCACGTGACACCACACCCAGATAATTTTTTGTATTTTAGTAGAGATAGGGTTTCACCATGTTGCCCAGACTAGTCTTGAACTCCTGACCTCAGGTGATCCACCCACCTCAGCCTCCCAAAATGCTGGGATACAGGCATGAGCCACTGCGCCCAGCCAAAATGGTATTTTACATATAACCTAAGCACATCCTCCTGTGTACTTTAAATCACCTCTAAATTACTTAAAAATCTCAATACAATGTAAATGCTACATAAACAGTTGTTATACTCCATTGTTTTATATTTGTACTATTATTTATTATTGTGTTATTTTTCACTTTTATAAATATTTTTGCTCTGCAGTTGGTTGAATCTACAGATGCAGAACCTGTGGGTACAGAGGGTTGACTATATGTACATTTTCCTAAGGCATTATTTTACAAATGGATTACAAATTCAGAGCAACTATGATATACTGCTACTTAATTCTATTATGTGTGTATAATACCTTGCTTCTACAGAGAAAGGCCAGCAGAGTGCACCACTGCTCCTGTTTACCTCCTCCTCCAATAACAGGGGCTCGTTCATAACCAAGGACATTAACAAATCTTGCTGCTTGCCTTGGAGTATCAAGAAGCCGTCCAGCTCGAAGTGGTTTAACGTAGGAACAGACTGGTCTATTTATCCCATTTTCATCCTAGGGAAAAGGGGAAAAACATCTATAATGACATATTAATCATCCCCAATTATAATATGTTTTTTTCAAATACATTAAAGTAGGATAAAATAATTCAGCATACCATTGATTGAGTGCTTACCTTGTATCCGGTATTAGGCTGCAAAGTGCTGTGTATATAATTTCCCTTAATCCTCATCTCTATTATTTTCATTTTATAGATGAAAACTGAGGAGCTACAGCTATCTAGCTCTGAGCGGTTTTACTCCAAAGGCTGTGGCAGTAAGAACTCCTCTGAGAAACGTGTGGGCAGGTATGTAGGGGAGGGAGAGGTGCTCTAAGCTGAAGTATTCTTTCATATTACCATATAGAATTTAACAATATATAGCCAGACAGAACAAGTAACTCTTCTGATTGGCTCATATAACAGAAATGATCATAGCTTGGTTCTAGTTTGTTTCCGTTAGGGCCTCAAATTTAGAGATCCACAGGAAACAATAATTTGTTAACCAAGTCAACAGAAAGCAAAATTTCAAAAAACACTCTAGAAAAAGTTTTACGTTCTAAAAACAGGATATATCTTGGTGTTGGTGCTGAATAACTTGTATGCATATATAGGTCTCTGATGACTGTCTACCATTGGGATTTTACAGTCAGTATGACCAAAGCCCACAATCTCTTTACCTTCCTGGTTACTGACACGGTACTGTAAAAGGGCCACTTACTCTTCAACATTTGGAGATGACCTACCCTCTCTGATAGGGCTCCTCAGGACAAAAGATCTAATCCAGCCAACAGAAACACCATCTGTCTGAATGATCAGAACCACTAATGTCTTTCTCCATAACCAAAACATCTTTTTCCAATATAGTCCCATACTTCAGCAAGGGAAAAAAAAAAATCTCACTTATTTACATTTGATTTTAGTGAGAAAGATCATGAATGTTTATGTTGCAGAGCAAATTGGCTATAGATTCCTCTCATACCTATAGTTCTCAACAGTAGAAGGCATCAATTTTTTTTTTTTTGAGACAGTCTCGCTGTTGTCCAGGCTGGAGTGCAGTAGCGTGATCTCAACTCGCTGCAACCTGCACCCCTCCAGGTTCAAGCGATTCTTGTGCCTCAGTCTCCTGAGTAGCTGGGATTACAGGTGTGCACCACCACACCTGGCTAATTTTTGTATTTTTGTAGAGATGGGGTTTCACGATGCTGACCAGGCTGGTCTCAAACTCCTGACCTCAAGTGATCTGCCTGCTTTAACCTCCCAAAGTGCTGGGATTACAGGCATGAGGTACTCTGCCTGGCCTAGAGGGCACTGATTTTTAAAACAGAGGATTATTATTCTAAATTTGGGGGGATATAGAGAACTATGGTTTTCTTTTACATGAACTTAGCATTACTAATAATCTAGTATTGTATAAGAATACTAAGTCCTGAAATCACAAACTAAATATTAAAAGGATATCCTCAATCCTCAAGTGATTTACAACATTTTCTTAAAACCTAGTGGCCTTAAAGTTCAATTTCTGTAACTTATTTTAAGGTTTTTTGCACTAAAAAGTTCAAAAGGCATCAATGAATTACTATTATATTATAGCAAAACCAGCTAACAAAGGATAAAAAGAATAATGAATTATTAAGTATGATGGCCATGGTGAATCTACAGATCTTTGGTGTAGGACTGTTACTCCTATTCTTACAAATCCACTAACAGGCAAGAAAAGATGAGCACATAAGAAGTGGAAGCATTTGCCTAAGTCAATCATCAACAGTAGCATCTTAGAATGTAAGATATATCGTTTTGTTTTTTTTTTTTTTTTTTTTTTTTTT